CTATTTTCCACAAACATTCTATGGTTTGTTTATTGGCATTTTTATCAGGATCAATAAACCATTTTTGATGATTCACAGTACTGTGTATGTACCCTTCATTGTTTAATGAATGTTGATAATTATTTTATTATATCCAGTGTTAGGCATAGTCGCATAGATAATCAAATAATTATCTAGATAAGATAATAGATGTATTTCAATATAATCATCTAGATGAGATAATAGATAAATTCAAATAAAATTATCTAGATAATAGATAATTTCAAGAAAAAATTATCTAGATAATACTTAGATAATTTATAAAAAAAAAACTTTAGCTGTTTATAAAAATAAAAATATTATAAATATAAATAAAGTCAGATTGGTATTATGGTGTATTTGGTTACAAATTAAAAAAAAAAAATATTTAAATACATAGTAGCCACTAGGTCATAGACACTAGGCACTTAGGTATAGTCCAAGCATGTCTTAGGCATAGTAATTTTTCGAATGTGTTGTCTTTGAGACGTTTTCTTCTAGGTGTGAGGATTTGACTGCCTGCACTAAATAATCTCTCAACTGGGGCTGAGGAGGGTAAAGTTGTATTGTATTTGAGAAACAAATGTTTCACAATTGGATATTGAATATTGATGCAATATATCCAGAGTTTTTGTTTCTTTTTTTTTCATGTCTAAAGAAGTTAGCGCTTGAACTTTTGCTGATAAACTGCAGCTACCGTATAAATCAGTATCAGACGATTGAGATGATGATGGCATAATACATTCAAAAAAGTCATCACTGTTTTCTGAATTAATAGACTGACTTAGTTGTGAGATATTATTACAATGCAGTGAAATTGTGTGAATAAATATTGTATAAAAAAAAAAATTGACAATAGAGTAAATAATTATCTAGATTATTTAAAAAAAGACCATTTTTATTATCTAGATAAGATAATAGATAAATCATTTAAAAGTTATCTAGATGAGATAAAATATACGAAAAATGTATCTAGATTAATCATCTAGATAGGACACATACTAGTTGCGGACGAATTATTCAGGTTAGGAATTATAATATAACAATTGCGGACACAATTTTTACCTCGACCAGGCAACTGCTGCTGTCAACCTGTTTCTGTTATATTAATAATAATATATCTAAAAAATAATACAATAATTCATTTAAATATTAAATATAAATTAATAAAAATTTTTCATTTTGATAAATAACTAAGTCATTTTCTCGTTCACCAGGTACGATTTCGAAATTCATTATTGTGAAGTATAATGACACGATGATAAATTGAGACTAACCAGATTAGAGTTGGACAATACTATTAGTCGTTTTTCGTATACAAGTTAGATTATCATCAATTAGCGATAACGTTTTTATACAGGTATTTCATATAATATTTATAATATAACTATGTAAGGAAAATAAAACTGAAATGTTCGGGAAGATTATTTTTTCCCTGGCGGAATCGATAGGTCGTTTTTAGACTACCTGCACTGGCGGAATCGATGCTGGCGGAATCGATAAACCTTATACCCAAGTATAAAAAGGTCTGGCGGAATCGATGAAACCCCGAGTTTCGTTGTCATAATACTAATTGCGTACAGAGCTTTTTTTAATAAAAACTACTTTAGTTGTGGACACAAATATTTCCCTTCGCCACTTTTTCAGGACTTATGACAATAGCTAAAAAAAATTTGGTAGGTGGGGTTAAAAATATTTGTGTCTTGCAAAAAGCAATCGTTATTTTTAAAATGTTGTTGAATTATAGATTGTTTTAATTTTGTGGAAAAAATTGTTTATAAAATATTTATAGATTATCGTCATTATTAATTATTGTCATAGTTTTTAAAACAGTCTGTATATATGATATTCTACTGATTTCACCACGTGAATATTGTAACATTATCCGCAATTAGTATCTTATATTTGTGTCCGCAATTCGTATGTTACCTTTTTAGATTTCGTCCGCAACTCACATGGTTTTTGTCACTTTGTCCGCAATACGGAAACACCGTCTAGATAATGCCTAACACTGCTTATTATATCTATCCATCTAGGCGACTATAGCTATTATCTATTCTACTTAGGTATAACTATGACACTATGTAGTATGTATGGTATAAGATATAACGACATAACTTATAAGTGATAGACAGTGTTGAAAAGTAGGTACTTGAGTACTTGAGTAAAAGTATTCAAATCCTTTTAAGTACTTCAACAAAATATTTTAAATATTTTCTTGAAGTATCTGTATTTAAAATCAAATACTAATTTTCAAATCCTTAAATAACTTTTTTTAGTTTACATTTACTTTTCTATTTTCTATTTTAATTTTATTATTACGTAAAATAAAAATAAAAATTGTGAATATATATAATAATATATTTTTTTTACTGTGAATTATAAAATCAAATAATTTATGTACTGCAGTGAACAAAGAAAATGGTTGAGAATTTTAAAATTCCACCGTGTAAAATATATGCTATATAGTATATATAATTAACGTAATACATGAAATTTGAAAATGAGTTCAGTTGATTTATTAAGTAAAAAAATTGAAAGTATCTATAAATACTTTTTTGGGTGAGTATATATTCAAATACGTATTTTAAATTCTTTTCAAAATAAGTATCTGTATCTAGTACGACTGTACGACTGTACTTGGATACTTTTAAAAAGTTATTTTACAAGACTGGAGATAGATATGAGTGTATGACCTATATTTTTGACACGGCAGTGCTCAGACTTAGATTTATGGTCGAGCCTGGAAGCTGGAACAATGAGTACCCTAATACTTATAGAATATATAGGTACTTAGAGTTTAAAGTTTAAATATTGTTCCTAATTTTTTTTTAATACAGAAACATACATTTATATTGTAATTAATAAACAACAGTTTTCTGTGTTATTGATATCGTTGAATAAAATTAAAAATAATAATGCTTCATAATATCATGACAGCACAGTGACAACTCATTGACATTTTGTCGAAAACCGATTTTGCGTAAAAATGCCCGTTTTTCCTTAATTTTTATGTAGTTTTTTATGGCACTTTGGAAAACTATTGGGAATTTTTCCTCCTGAATGCACCAATATTAGATTACTTTCCCATCGAATAAGATACTGTTGAAGAAAATCAAAACAGCTAGTTTTACTACCCCAAACGGAAACGGTGATGACAGACACGAAAAAAAAAAGTAAATGATATAATTGTGAATAAAGTAATTTATATGATACAAGATATAACTTATTTACGTGTAACCTTAGCTATAAACATTGGACATTTTATACATTTTTAACTACAAAATAATTATTAAATTTTGTCAAAATTCAAACTTTAAATGCGTATAAAAAAAAATAGTGCCTATGTATTTTTAATATTTTTCAACTGTTATTGTAACAATATATCATGAACCTGGAACCTTGCATTAAATTTTCACGCATTTTTCCCAACAAATAGAATTTTATAATTGACAATTAAAGGAAAAAAAAACAAAAAAAATTAAAAACTGACAATGACCGTTAACAGCTCAAAAAGAGTCAAAATATTTTCAAAATTGTATGGTGTATAGAAAATAAAAATATAAACATTCAGTGAAATTTTCATTTATCTACAGTTATTCCCTTTTTGAATTATTACCATAAAATAACAAAATCGCCACATGAGAAATCGAGTGAATATCCAATCATGTAAAAATATGAACTTCAAACGCTCATAAAAATGTAATTTGATTTTCTTGTAGACATTTTTGATGAGAAAACATCTTATGTGGCGTTCAGACTTTTCCGTTCGGGCAGTGAATTTTTTCGACCGTTATTCGAGCTTTACCCTTTTCGCGTAACGCTAGCGCAGCTGTCGTGTTGATTGGCGGAGACACGGTGCGACGCAACGATTGGTCGACTATTGTGCTCAGCGGACGTGGCTTCATTACGATCGCAAAAATCAGCGAAAATTCTTTTTCTATAGTCTAATTCGGACGTTAGACTGGGTGTCAACCTTGGAGGTAGGTCGAGATCGGAATACATGCTGAGAGAATTTTCTATGGAGGTAATATTTATCGGACTTGTGATTTTTTTCCAAATTTTTTGAAAATTATTTTGCCATAACTCAGTCTAATTCGATGTTCTTTTTAATTAAATTTATTCGTAACTTTATATAAAATATGCGTCATAATAAAACTATATTTCTAAGCTCATATTTATTTTTTCACATCTTCTGAGGGTCGCTTGAGACACACAAGTTTTTTTTATTTTTTTTGATAAAAGTTGAAAAACTTATGGGGAATCTTGTATTACATTTTCAAATCTTAGATTTAAATAGAAAATTTTTTATGAATTTCTAACTCATTATTATTTGCACATTTTCGTGAATTTTACGTATTTTGTCGATATTTGAACTTTAATTGCTCATAAAAAAAAATTGTGACTGGATTTGTAATAGTTTTCATCTGTATATTTGAAAGTTGAAACGATGTATTTCGAGGTCCTTTTGAAAACTACTGGAACATTTTTACTTTTAACCCCCTAAAGTACCAACTAGATTCACTTTCCTATCAGAAAAGATACTGTTGAAGAAAATCCAAGCACTTTTTTGTCCTAAAAGATGATGACAGACAAAAAAAAATTAACAAAAAAAACACACATCATTGTAAAATCAATACATTAATCGCTTTGCTTGGAATCTATAAAATATAACAGCCTGCACGTTAACATATTATATAAATATATTAAATGACAAGGGTAAATTATCTATAATGAAAATGTTTGAGACTAAAAGATATGACTAGAGATTTTCAAGTTCAAGTTCCAAAAAAAAAAAAAAACAACATTTATTTATAGGTATATTACTCTGTTTAAATAAGTATATGTTATATAAAGTAAATAACATAAACAAACACAGAATGTAATATACACCTACATATAGGTATTATGTATTATTTTTAATACATTAATGTTTCAATTACTTATATGAGTCGTTTATTAAAAATTGACGATAAATGTAGTCATTTTTTCTTTTCAATTATTATATTGGAATACCTATACCATATTTTCCACGTAATTTTGAATAATAATAATGCACTGTACGCTATAATTATATTTTTTCTGGAAACTGTATTATACTTTTGTGATTGTTCAACGATTATTTTTTCATTTCGTGTTCTACTATATCGTTTGTTTATTGCAATAAAACTATACTTTTCCCATAATCTTCCTATAATAAAATTCCTAAAAATAAATGTATATAGGTTTAAGAAATAATATTTCATTAAAAATTATTAATCACGAACAAGTAATTTTAATTTGGGGACGGAGGGGCCAAGTGATCTAAGGCGTCGGTTGCGACACGCACCGTCGCCGGTTCGAACCTCGGTCAAGGGCAGCCCTTCTCTTCGAACAAGCACGAGGCTACCATGCCCCACCAGGCATGGCAGATACCTATGGGTACCCACTTGAAAATTCTTCCAAACACAAAAACGTGTTCCTCCGACCGTTCCCTACCATCCCAAAAACCCTACAGTACCATACAACAACTAATGGACTCAGTTCACAGTTGTCGGTCTTGAGACCAATAAAAAAAAATATAAATAAATACAATTTTTATTATAAAAATATATTAATAAATTAAAATTTAACCTGAATTTAGGACAACAATTGTAAATCTAAACATAGACAATATATATAATATAATATATTAGCATAATATTATACATTGATATCCTCTCTTAGTTCTGATATATTATATAAATCACCAAATAATCAATCAATACAATTTATATTAATCTGTTATATAGAATAAATCATAAGTAAGTATACATCATAACTTTTTTTAATCAGGTATGTGCAAATAATTTAGTATACAATTAGTATACAATAAAATATACAGCATTATCTATAGATAGCTGGTATTTTTGTACACTGAAAACTCAAATATAAAACATGTTTTTAAAATTATACCTAAGTTTTATCGTTTTCTCTTTTACTTCATTGTCTAAATGTTTGTTTGTATTAACAATTCTTGGAAATACAACTTCTTCTTTTTTCTTTTGGTCGTTATCATTTTTCCTCAAATTTAATGTTGTATAATCAAATTGTACACCCGGCTTAAAAAATAATTTTATCCTTGAGTCTAATATAAATATTTATTTTTTGAACATACATATATATACTATTTTAGTAGAAATGTATAATAGATACCAATTTCATCTATGATCTATATGATTATTAATTATGTACCTTTGAATCCAAATAACTGTTGTGTGGTATTTGTACTGTTAGGGATTGCTTGTGATCAGAATATTTTTTCCAAATCTGAAAATATCTCTTTAATACGTTCTTTCTATAGTAATTAACTGCTGTTCTTACTTTTCTATCAGTTTCCATAATGTTTTCACTTCACAAAATATGTCTTCATAATCTATTACCATAACGTCTTGGTTAGGCAACCTAATTTTCCAATTCTCATTATAACTATAGGTAACATATATTTTTTATTTTTTTTTGTTCTAGTAATTATTTATTTGTTGATTTTTAGCCGCATATTTGATATGACGATAATATGTATTACCAAGTAACGCCAATAACAAAATACAATATTTCTAAACTATTAGTTAATAAAGTGAGCATACCATGTCAAAACGCGACAAAAAAATCAAAATTATCTCGTTGACAGGTATAGAGAGAAAGTCGAATGTGTTGGCGCTAAACGATGATATCGTAGTGACTATAAATTATAATAATAATATAATATTATTATGGACGTCCACCACAATATTCATCAAAAATCTGTTATTATTCCCTCGTTATCCAGTTCACCATAATTCATAAGTGTAATAATCATAAACAAAAATTTTCCTACAGCTGAATATAATATGTATAGCCGTATAGGTAGTAAAAAAGAATCGTCATCAAAAAATTATTTGAGCGTCCGGGATCACGGTTGGAGGAGCCTTTGGAGTAGTCTTGAGTTTATTTTTAATTATCTTTTTGTAAGTTGGGCAACTTTTATAGTTTGCGGTGTGCTCACCTGGACATAAAGCACATCTGGCTGGAGAGGCCTTTGATTTTTTGCATGATTCCGAGAGGTCTTGTTCCCCACATTTAACACAACGTGGAAAGTATAGTAACAGAAACTCGGGGTATGCCCATAGGCATAGGCAGAATTTCAACTTTTGACTTGGGGGGGGGGCTGAATATATTAAAGGCAAGCAGACCTTTGCAATATAGTATTTTTAAATTGTATAACCTAGGTTTTATGGGGCCTTAGCCCCCCCCAATTTGCGCCTATGCACATAGGTCTGACATACGTGCCGCTGCGTTGGTCCTTTGGGTAGGTATGGTTTTTCGCAGTGGCTCAACTAGCGGGTAAGTTAGCCAAGTGAAACTTTGGGGCCCCCAATTTATCGGGGTCCCTATAATAAAAATTGGTTTTTAGTATTTTTTTTACATTATATAATTATTATTATTACCTATATTTTTTTATAAACATCTACATTAAAATGAGATGGTTATACACTTATACTATATTATACTATAATTACCTAAACTGTTATTTTAATAGTTAAATTAGTTATTGTTAATAGCCTATGGATTACCTATATTACACTACGAGTTATTGATTTAATAATATTATAAAATCATTAGATACCATGGATTAATGGAGGCCAAGAATAGTGTTCGAAAATGTATACAACATAATCAACAGCCTACTCGTATTATTATTATAACAGGGACTTATGTTAAATTAATGTGAAAATAATGTTGAACAATACATATTTTTTTGTAATTATATTGTGCTAGATATATCATAAATGGGAATTTCCACTGGCACCTTAATATGTATAATATCAATTAACAATATAAAATATTATGTGTTACAGTGTTTACACTGTTTACAGTCTCGACCAGACATGTTGGGAAAAGATAACAGATAATTCATTCAAAATGTATCTAGATAAGACAAAATACAACAATGGTTTATCTAGATAAAAAAATAGATAATTTGTTTTTAAATTAAATTATAAATAATATAATTTATTAGTAATTACTAATTTATTATATAATATTTGTTCATTAATAAATCCTAATGTAATTTCTTAACTAAAATAATAAACAATTTTAATTTTTAATATAACTTAAATAAAAATAAAATAACAAAATAAAACTGGCAATGTTTCAGTAAACATTTCTTTTTTTAACTATAATAATATTAGAATTTTGAATCACTAATGGGTTCTCGTAAATTATTGGCTATTTCAGTATTTAAAAATATTCTTATTATTATATTATTTATCTAGATAAATTACCACAGGTAACCATTACATTTATCTAGTTGAGATAATTAGATGGTTTAATTATTTTTATCTAGATAAGATAATTTAAGAAATAATTTTATCCCTACACATAATTTTATCCTTACACTGGTCTCGACTTTTGAGTATTAAGTCTTGAAATTTATTTAGTTGTGCACTTGTACCTTTCGCGTGTGTGTTATAACTTATAATAAATTATGATATAAATATAATATACCATGCGGTGTCCTAAATGGGTGACTCCCCTCCCCCCCCGTAAATCATCGTCATCAAATTTACTCATTGTAATATAATATATTGTAATTACAGATTGTATATAAAATTTTGTTCAATAAAAAAAAAATATAATATGATAATTTCTATTTTAATGATACGTATATACGTCATTACAATGACTATTTTTTTCCAATTGCTGTATTAATACATCTTAGCGTGTCTTCATAAGTGCAGAGTTTTTCTATTATTTTTGTCATCTCATTATTGGCTGCTTCTTTTGCTAGGCAATCTGCTCTTTCATTTCCTTCTATGTTAATTTGTACAGTCTTCCAGACAATGGTTATTTCGTTTTCGTAGTTATTTACTGCTTCTATTATTTTTGATTTAAGACTGTTGTTGTTTCCATGGCTACTTAAGCACTTTACGGAGCATAGTGGAAAACATCCTGTCAAAAACTGTTAAACATCTCGGAGTCCAAGTAAAAAAACATTCGATGCATTGACCTTCCTCTGTCATCGAATGATCACCACCCCCCGATCACAACCCCCTCCCCCAACCGGGAGGGTAACCTCAGGGACGCAGACCAGCAGGCCAAATAGCCCTCTGGCCACCACTAAAGCTCAAACAAACGCGGCAGTGGGGCAGGCAACGCCCTGCCCCACGTGCAGCCACCTCCGGGACAACCCCACATTAATGGAAATTGACCCCGCGGCCACCTCAAAGGCCAAATCAAAAAAGAAGAAGGCCCGCAAGGCTACACAGCAAGGGCCTACCGCCCCACCCCCACTAAGACTGACACGAGCACACAAGGAGCCTCCACCCCAAGGGCCCCTGAACAGTGGACTGAAGTGGTAGGGAAAAAATGGCCAGGGCCGCCCCTGAAGAGACCTCCAAGGCAGATTCCCCCCCTTCCCAGCTACTAAGCCAGCTCCAAGGAGACTAAAGAAGAACGCTGCGCTCATCATCAAGGTACCGACCGGCTCCACATTCGAGGACACAGTCAAGGTCATTCAGGAGTCAGGGGTCAACCAGGATAACTTTAGAGCCACGGTCACAGGGATGAGAAAAACTAAAGGGGGTGACGTCGTCATGGACTTGGGCAAAAGCCGCAAGTCCACAGAGGCAGCCACCCCGCTGAAAAAAACTCTCACTGAAAAGCTAGCCGGTGCTATAGTGTCTGTGGCAGCATCTGGTGCCTAGAAGACATGGAGGTCATCGACCTCGAGCCTAAGGGTGTCCTTGCAGCACTAGAAAGCGCGTTCCTGGCATCTAGCAATGGAGACTACACGCTAGTGGAGACTGCAGCCAACGACATCAATGTTACCTCCATGTGGAGGTTGAAGAACGGGCAGCAGGTAGCCAAGGTTAGCGTTCCCAGGGATGCAAAACCAACAGAGGTTAGCAGAGTTCGGATAGGATGGACGAGCTTCAGGCTTAGAATTTGCCATCCTGAAGCCACCAGGTGTTTCAAGTACCACTGTTTCGGTCACTCCCAGGGGAGCTGATCGGGGCCGGACTTGAAAGATTCCTGTCGCAAATGTGGGTTGAAAGACCACAAGGAAAAGGATTGCTCCGAAATAACGAAGTGCGTAGCACTGCTGCCTGCAAGGCCAGGTGCTCTGTTGAGTCCTGGCTCTCCAGCGGCTGCATGTTACTTGCGTCCCAAAAAAGATATATTTTTCAGGTAGTAAATTTGACCGGTAAATTGCGTCCCGTTTTGGGGACGCAAGTCAGCCATATAATTATTATCGATATTATCTTCTAAAATCATTAAAATCGATAATATCGTGACACTAAAATCGATAGTTCATCGATTGTACCGTATACATGTGTGTGAGTGCGTGCGTTACTTACTTACAATTTATCTATGATAGTATATTCTATTAATAACTTAAGTGGGTATTATTTTATGTGAAAAGATATGGGAACATGTATACATCTTGTTGGTTGTTAGATTCGATAAGATAAAGCAATTACGTCGATAATTTTTTTTTTTACTCGCATTTTATTTTCACATTTTACTTTTATTCAGTACGATTCGTCTTATTAGACCAATAGTTGTGAAATAACCACTCATCAAATTAAAAAAATTAAATAAGTTAATTTAATAAAATACGATTTTTTATATTATTATTATTATTATTATTACTACCATGACAAAATATAAAACATATGAATTTGTAATTTTATAAGTTTGAATTTTAAAAAAAAGCGTGAAAATTGAACTCCTGAAGTTGAAAAATATTCGTTCAACTTTTATAGCTAAGGATTGAAATATACTTAGTAATATCATAGGCTGACTGACCGTTTTCGTTCAGAATAGTTTTTTCCATACTTTTTTTTTTACATTTTTATATCGATTATATCGATATTTTTGGGACGCAATTAGGTTATAAAAAAAGGTGTACTGGGACGCAAATCGGCTATGACCTTTTTGAACCTTTTTTTTGCGGGACGCAACTCACCTACTGATAATAATTTCGGACGCAAGTAGTATGTTCCCGCTCCAGCAACCGTCACAATGATTAACTTCTTACAGGTGAATCTGAACGGGTGTTGAGCCGCTCAATAGCTCCTGGACCAGACGGCTGATCAGAAAAAACGTCGACGTCCTCATCCTGTAGATTGTATTCTGTTGTCTCAGAAGGCACGGACTAGAAAGAGCTGCTGAGGCGAAGGCCACTTTTGCAGCAGCAAGGAGCGATCTAAGGAGAGAGAGATCTGAAAATCCAAGGAACAAGGGTGGAGGGATCTTTGTGCATAAGTTGACATTAATCCCTAGGGTCAGCCCTACAAGCTATTCATGAAAAAGTTCGACGACGGCTCTTCTAGACTCGCTTCTAAAGGGCGTGAGAAAGCGATCGCAGATCATCTATTTCCCGCCACCCCAGTCACCGACTGGGACCTCATGCCAGAGCCAGCAGTTAGGAACATCTTTGAAAACTTCTACCCCGATGCTGATGAGCTGATATTCAACAGGGTCATCCCTAAGTACACCATAGATGAGCTCACTAAGGCCACTAAGAAAATGTCTGCCGGCAAGGCGGGGGGCCGTCAGGCATGCGCAACGAAATATTGAAGAGGATCGTCGTTGCCGTCCCGGAGCCACTCTGAAAATCTACAATGAGTGTCTCAAGGGGCTAACTTTTCCCTCCACCTGGAAAAAAGCCAAGCTGGTTCTATTGCATAAGGGTCCTGGCAAACCGGTCGAACCTCCTTCTAGCTTCCGCCCCATCTGCCTCTTGGACACTCCGGACAAGCTGCTAGAGAGGCTTCGTCTTCAGAGGCTGGACACACACCTGGACTCCCGTCGGTCAGGGCGGGCTTCAAATCAGTTTGGCCTCCGAAAGGGAATATCAACGGAGTCAGCGGCACCTGGTGACAGAAGGAGCTCTGCGTCTTGGTAACCCTGGACGTTAAGAGCGCCTTCAACTCCCTTAAGTGGCCGGTTATCGATGAAGCCCTCAGGAACAAGGACACTTCGGGTACCTGTTTCTCATGATCTGATCTTGGTTATCACTTATCAGAAAGCAACTACTCGTCGGAGATCAGAGGATCATAAAAACAGTGACGTGTGGTGTCAATCAGGGTTAGGTCTTAGGGCCGACCCTGTGGAATGTGGCCTACGACTACCTGCTGGACATGGAAGTGCCACGGGGTGCCCAGCTGATCGGCTTTGCAGACGACCTAGCTGTGGTCGGAGTGGTCAAGACGGGAGAGGAACTGGAGGAGTTGGTCAATCCTATCCTTGATCAATGGATGACAAGCAGCTAGAGGGCTACAACTAGCTCATCACAAGACTGAGGCCCTGACGCTGACAAAGTAGTGGGCTTACAACCTGCCTCGTCTCAGTATTGAAGGGACTCCAATTCAACTTAGCAGACAAGTGAGATACCTAGTTTTCATTCTGGACTCGCGGCTCTCCTTTGTGAAGCACGCCGAGACTGTAGCTAAGAAGGCGGCGAATTCGGCCCTTAGCCTCTCACGGCTAATGCCAAACATTAGGGGCCCTTTCCTGGGGAAAAGGAGACTCCTGGGGTCAGTAGTTGAGAGCCAACTACTATACGCCCCACAGATATGGTCCGCGGCTGCCAGCACTACGGCCTTACAGTAGTTTAAATTGTTTTTTAATACATAGGCACATTTTTTTTTCATAAGCGTTTGAAATTAGAGAAATGTTATAAAACTCATGAAAATTCCGTATTAAAAAGAGAAACTTACTTACTAAAACTTAAAGAAATAAAATAAAATATCTTAAGCTGACAAATCGTCTTCGTTCAGAATCGTTTTTCATCGTAAATTTAATACATAACAGTGACCTACCCTGCAATACACTCGACACCTACTATGTATACTATGTATACTACATAACTATATAATACCTATTAATTATAATCAGGGCTTAAAACCGGTAACCGGTTTGTAACGAAAACCGGTAAAAAACCGTAAATTTGAGAACCAAAAACCGATAACCGTTCTTAGTTTTGGAATGCTGGAAGCGGTTATTGGTTATCGGTTATCAAGGTAAATATCTAAATATTAACATCAAAGCGGTTACCTCGTTTTTTCAATCCCGGTATTATAGCCAAAATCTATTCCCGACCAAAAAATTAACGGTTTTTTCGTGGAATTTAATACTGGAATTATGTCATGATTACATTATAGTTGAATTTAATTTTCCAGCTATTTTTAAATTTTTTTCCCCAATTGATTGTCGTCGAGTATTGCTTATTTGTTGTGAATATCACATATATATATATAGGTATAATTGTATAACTAATATTATAAATACCGTCATAAACATCGTCGTCGTCCTCGCGCGCTGATTCCTATTACGAAATAGTTGGTGCTTAGTCCATCTAGTATTTACGACATTTTAATACTGTCTATCACACTTTATATTTTATACATTGGTCAATGTCATTATTTTAAAGATGTTGTTTAAAGTGTTTAAAGGGGTTAAGATTTAAATAATTTGAAGAATAACTACATATATTATACACGGAAATTAAAAATGAAGAACCCTGTTCTTGAAATGTATTTTACGTATGATATAAATAAAAACAGTAGTAAATGTAATGTAGTGGGATGTAACAAGTATATATCTGGTGAGCATTCGTCAAACTTGGAGAAACACATTTTTGCCCTTCACAAAAATGAGTACAAAATTATTATATATTATTTCGGTTTTTTACGGTTATAAAGAAGAAAATTATAACAATAACATTTTTTTATGCAATTTATTTTTTTGATTTATTAAGATCGCCATTATCTTGATCATATGTTTTAAACTTTAAAGCAGTTTGAAAAAATAAATATTTCAATTGAAGGAAATCGACCAAATTAAAGCATATTAAGTTTTTGATTTTGTAATAATAATAGTTATGTTATCAACCCACGATTAACCTAAATAAACTGTTTCAAAAATATGATTAAAAAATTGAAAAAAAATGATTTTTAAAAACCGGTTTTAACCGGTAACCGATTACCAAAAAATATAATCAACGGTTTTTAAACGATTAACGGTTATCATAGTGTTTGAAATATCTTTAAAGAAACGGTTACCGGTTACCAAAATATCAAAATTAAACGATAACCGGTTACCGGTTTTCAAAAATTTTCGGCTCCTACCGGAGCCGATTACCGACTTAATTGATAACGGTTTTAAGCCCTGATTATAATCTATTTGTTTTTATAGTCTTATTTATTCAGTGTTGCCGATAGTACGGTATTTGTCGGGGGATTACGGTAATTTCATACTCCGTACGGTCGGAGTACGGTCAACCAAAAATGGGTCAAATAGTACGGTAAATTCAAAAAAAAAAATTAGCTTTTCATCATATTTGTTATAATTATTTTGTATTTGATTTTATTTTGTATTAATACTATATATTATATAATATTGAACTTCGAACCTGACCCAGACTTTTGATCGTGATATTATGTGAGCTGTACTAAGATGGTGCTCAGTTTCTCCCTAGTTAGAATTCCCATAGAATTCCATAGAATTCCCCATAAAAGAAAACAGAGTTCATCTAATAACCCCAAACCTTGGGTGAAACTATCATAATAATTAACTATAATTTTTAATTTTAAATATCATGTAATTTTTGTTTTTGAATTTTTTATTATGTTGTCTGTAATTAATTTTTACTTTATACTAATTTACGTGATCTCAGAACAATAATGACCAATGACATTTCATTTCACAGGCATACATATATAATATATTGTGACAAGATGTGATAATTGCTAACTTTTTTATAAAATATGTTTATTTGTAAATTTATGTTTTATTATTCATTGAACAATTTAATAATTTTAGATTCTAAGCAGAATGATGAATGTATAATGTATTGATTTTATAATGATATGTGCATAAAAGTGTGATTTACATTTTTTATAAATATTTGATAAGAATTTGATAAGAATTCGGACCTGTGATAAGAAATTATAACTGATAACCATGCTGATAACCTAAAAAATCAATAAGTACGGTAATATTGTTCAAAGTACGGTAATTTTGTCATATTTTCCCCGCTGACTAGATAACAAACATTGGCAACGCTGTATTTATTAGTAGATACACACTACACACTTCTCAAATTCGTAGTGCACACTCCCAATTTCGGACTACACACTTTGTGTCGGGGTTCACTAAAAAAATAGGGGCTATACGCCTATACAGCAGAGGGAGTTCCCGTTTTCTTTAAAAGTGCATTTAATATAACATTTATATGATAAGTTTTTAGATAAATATACCTGTATTTTTCTTTTGATACATTATTTGTTATTTTTAAACAAAGTAAAATCATTTTTCAAAAAAATTTATCAGTAATCAGTTAAGTTAGAATGATTATATGGAATTCTGTTTCAGTGTTTTCCATTTCTTTAAGTACCATATAGTTAAATAATTTTAGTGGGTTAGACGTAAAGACTCTTTGTATTTCTATTAATCTATTATAAATTTCTTGAAATGGATATTTTGCACATTTAATTGATTTTTTATATATTGTAAAAAAACCATATTTGAAACAGTTAAAATCATCTAGAGGACGATGGATTCTCACAAACATTGGTAGCCAACGTTGGTAGGTAAGCAAACTATGCGCATTATTAGAAATAAATTGTTTGCCACATAAATTAATTACATAATTACATAATTTCATAACCCATTGGAAGAGATTGGTAATTAGGAAAATTGGATTTTAGGACTAGTATAACTTTGGAAATGGTGGTTTTAGCCGTTTTTGGGAATAACATAGAAAATATTGAGTCATGGAAAAACGTTCTTTTGGCAATTGAGTACAATGGTAAAACTGTTAATAACTCTACTGGATAAAATGGTTGTTGGTAATAAATTACCTAATGTATACTTTTTCCAGTTTCTGTGTAAAATATGTATAAAGGTAAATGGATAATTTAGTAAGTGGTAAAACTGGTAGAATTTCCATTATTCCACTTTTTCCAATGCGCATTTTTTCTAAAAACCATTATAACCCATGTTTATTTTTTCCAATAGGTGAAGACTGAAAATAGGAAAATCTAGTTATAAGGAAAATCTGAACATTGGAAAAAGTTGATGTTGGAAAAATTAAAATGTGGAAAAAGTGGTATAGTCCTTTCATTGGCCTCCACATATCTATTTTTGATAACATAAATCATGACGTTACTCAAATAATTATAAATGATAAGCATTAAACAATATTTCTGACTTTTCTATAGTCTGATTTATTGGTCTGCCTAGTGCCTTGTGCCTATTTAGTCAACGTTAAGCAACTGCGTCCGCGACGTTTCTGTGTGCTACGGTGCTTTTTGTTCAATACTTCATTCATTTACTTTTCAATTTTTTTTTGTTTTAGTTAAAATAGTAAACTGCTATTTTATACATTGCTATTTTTTTTATTACTTTAAAATTTATTAAAATTTCTACAAATGGATAGTAATGATGTTATGGAAGAAGATCAACTCGAACCTTCTTTACAAAACGTTATCAGCCAGAGTAGTTTGAAATGGATTTTTGTTGGCGGAAAAGGAGGTGTTGGTAAAACGACTTGCAGGTAAACATTGTGTAGTACAGACGTAAAGTGCATCGTCCATCTTACTTATTGTATAATCAATTAATGCATGTACCAATAAACTAGCTATCAATTTTTAAATTATAATTTCAGTTGTAGCTTAGCTATTCAATTAGCTAAAGTTCGTGAATCAGTTCTTCTATTATCGACTGATCCAGCACACAACATTTCTGATGCTTTTGGACAACGATTCACCAAAGCCCCTACTAAAGTGGAAGGTTTCAATAATTTATTTGCCATGGTAAGCATTTAGGAATTAAGGATTCACACCCTACAAAATATATTAATGGAAAATGTATAATTTAAATGTATTGCCTACTTAGGAAGTAGATCCCGATCTTCAAAGTGGAAACGAAAATATATTTGGAAGTGAAGATGAATCTGATACAATGCGATTAGGTAAAAGTATTGTACAAGACATTATTGGAGCATTTCCAGGTATTGATGAGTCGATGAGTTATGCTCAAGTGATGAAGTAAGTGTATAGGTACAAACATTTAATATTACACTAATAATAATAATAATTTTAAATATAAATATACCATTTTTCTTACTTTTAATTATGCTTGATGTGTCATAATTGATCTTTAATTATGTGTCATTGCTATGATGTAAATATTTAACCAACATGTTAAATAAAACACATATTAGGGCCTTATAAGCTTTATCACTGAAACTGAATAGAAAATAATGTTCTATTACAATTATAAAGAACTTTTTTATAATCGTGTATCTCATTGAATAATCAATTATTACAGCATTGATTTCACAATTGTTTTGATTAAGAAGATGTCAGCACACTATCTGTTTTCTCTGACTGGCCCACCCGCAACATAGACAAAACGCATTTACGCAGAATCATTTTTTCTATGTTTTTAAGTAAAATCACCCATTACAAAAAAGATAGAGAATAATATTTTTGAGAGAATGTCATATGAAATTGTTTAAATATTGTTGCAAAACAATTTAAACATAATTTAAATGTACAACATTTTTTTATTTATTTTGAAAGTCGAATACAAAGTCAAATATCAATAAAATCTAAAATCGTTATGTCATTCCCTCAAAAATATTATTCTATATCTTTTTTGTTATGGGTAATTTTACTCTAAGATTACTTAAAAACATAGAAAAATGATTCTGCATTAGTGTGTTTTATCTATGCTGCGCATGGGCTCGAGAGAGAAAACAAATAGTGCACTGACATCCTCTTAACAAGACGTTACTCTGACATTTGTTGTCCTTGTCTTACAAGTGCAAAATATAGCAAATTGTACGCTCAGCAGAACACGTGTAGCCTTGTATGTTTAAAAATTAGAGTGAATTGACTTCTTATACAATTTAAAGGTAAGATTATTATCTAGACAATCTCAACGGTTTTTTATTATATTTTAACTTAAAAGCCAGTTATGAGTATTTTAAGGCGTACACAAAATTTACAATTTTAAAATACTCATAACTCGCTTTAAAATTAAAATATAATAAAAAAAACCATGAGCTTGCCAAGATAATAATCTTACCTTAAAATTTTATAAGAGGTCAATTTCAGTGTTTGGAAAGAACATTGTTCACGTTCATAATTAGTGAACAATACATGAACGTCACTTGTTTTTATCAAATAGAACTTGAACGACGTTTATATATTTGATGAATTTGAATGATTTTTAATACGTTCAAATTTATTTATTACTTAATAAATATTGATTGATAATAATTATAATGTATAATATATCACAAATTATAAAAATAAAATACATGAAATTCCATTGGGCATGCCTGGACATAAAACAACAATAATATTATTATTTCCACGATTTTGTGTTCATATTTAAATGATACATAAAAATTAAATTAAATTAATTAAATGAACAACGAAATGAACGCATTCATATTTTCGAAAAACGTGAACTTGTTCATTTGAAAACAAATATGAATTTGAACATGAACAAGTTTCTTTTTTAAGCACTGAACTTGAATGTGAACGAATTCATTTTTTTAGTGAACGTTCCTAACACTGGTCAATTCACTCCTATATGTTCTTACCATCAAGTTTCATGATAGGTCGATTTACTAATATTTTTAAATAAAAGGAGTTAAATGTGTTCTGTTGAATGTACAATTTGCTATGTTTCACAGTTTTAAGACTGAGACAATAAATGTCGGTGTATCATCATCTTAATTCAATGATACATCAATTGTTTACAAAACTTTTATTCCATGTGATATACACATTAATTTATCAGCACTAAAATTTCCAAAATATGCCAAGTAAATACATAAAAAAAGCTAAAATATGAACAAAAAAATATATATATGCACTCCAAAAATACATAATGTATATTTATGAATTCAGTTATATTAAAAAATGTAATACTTATACTTTGTATACTTATATAAAGTATTTATTTTGAAACCATTATCATATCTACATTGTAAGGTGGTGGTCTTTACCAACATAAATAAAAATGCGTTATACAAGTAAACGTTACATAAGCTAATCAATGACATAAAATAATAACTAAAAATTATTTTTTCTTATCATGTTTAACAAAATATGCCATATAAACTAAATATTTTTTAATATTCACAAAAAAGTTTCATTATTTCCAACCACAGGGCACTAACACATTTTTTGCTTACTTAGCATATCATTTGGTTAACATGAGTAAATATGTAAATATATACAAATCCAAGCTCTACTCATTAAACATGCTGTAAGCCAGAAGTTGCCAATGAGAAATATCTGAAATAATGAAAGAATATTATTATACAATTTATTATTATGCTGCTTGTAATAATATAAATAGTTATACCTAAACAAATAACAAATAGTGATAGATCACCATTTTTAATGTGGCTTATATGTTGGAAAAGGTTGGCAACCCCTAGTGTAAGCAAACAACTTATTTAAACTAAATTCTACCCATTTTTATTTTATAAAATTGATTATGATCAGAATATGTTTTTGTTAATACTATATTTGTTGCACTCAAATTAAACATATCTTGTTTTTAATTGTATTGTATGTTTCTACTTTATAGTAGAGCTCCCTATTTCATGTATACACTTATTTACGTATTTTAGTGCTAAATTATCATTTTTAAATGTCTTATTAAAGACCCAGTTGTTCCACCAATACAAAAATATTCATTATTTTCATTTTCGTCACATAATTCGCAATATGCTTTATCTCCTTATTGTTTAGCATATTCCTATACCCAGCTTCTTTTTTTGCCCGTTATTGTAAATTAACGGTATTAATTAACGTGTATTAAGTATACGTAAATAGAAATTTTTTGTTCATGTGTACATAGACTTTGTGCTCACGTACGTAATTCACGTTTCCAATCGAAGCCTCTACTTCATAGTCATGGACTCTAATGGTATATTATCAAGACGACATTACCTTTATATTTGTGTGATTTCAGGTTGGTTAAGAGTATGAACTTTTCAGTTGTCGTATTTGACACAGCTCCTACTGGGCATACTTTGAGACTACTGACATTCCCTTTAATGATGGAAAAAGCTATAGGAAAAATATTGGAATTGAAAAATAGAATAGGTCCTTACCTAAATCAAATGAGTATGCTTTTTGGAGCTGGTATTAATGTAGATGATATTTCACAAAAACTTGAAGAAATGTTGGCTACCATTAAAACAGTTAATCAACAATTCAAAAATCCCGTAAGTAATCACAAAATATTTTTAAAATAATCAAAATGGATTTAAACTATTTTTGTTTTAGGATCAAACTACATTTGTTTGTGTATGCATTGCTGAATTTTTGTCATTGTATGAAACAGAAAGGCTTATCCAAGAATTAACCAAAAATGAAATTGACACCCATAATATTATTGTTAATCAATTGTACATTAACAATGGAGACTCCGATCCGAGTTGTAAAAAGTGTTCTTCCAGACGGGCTTTACAGCGCATCTATCTAGAACAAGTTAGTTTATTATATAATAATGACAGTATATTTATTAACTGTTATTTTTTTTTATATTTTGTTTTAGATCAGTGATTTGTATCTTGATTTCCATGTTACTAAGCTTCCATTGTTAGAAAAGGAAGTACGTGGTGTTACTGATATATCAGAGTTTTCTAAATATTTATTGGACCCAAATTATGCTTTTAATAAAAACAAATAGAAAACGGTTTTCTATATCTTTTTTTGGTTAGCTTAAACAATATTTTTCATAATTGTAATGTGTACATCCAAAAACAAATATTTGTTACTGTTATATCAATATTGTAGTTAAAATGTTTTAACTTTATTTCAAGCTAACTTGTAATAAAAAGATAATGAATAATAATTACAGTTCATTCTAATTGATTTAATTGATTATTAAACAAAAAATAATAATAATTTGTTAAATGTAAACTATTTGCAATAAAATTACACTTATTATTATACCATATCTTAAATTTATAAATTCCTACTCAATTATAATTATTTATTATGATTTTAGAAAACAAAAGCTTTATAACTTGGTTACCAACAATATATAAACCATTTTGTTATAAATTATTTTATAGCTTGATACTTTACATTTTATTTTATTGATTATAGTGACTTCAATCTTATCTAATTAAATGCATTTTAAAGTATGTACATTACTTTAATTTTTTTTTTATAATAATGGATTAATTTATTGATATAATGAAAAATGTTTTGAAATATTGTTGATTCACAATAATATAAAATGTATAACTGTCATAAAATATTTAAAAAACCTACAATCCATTTTAATTTTGTAAACTGAAATATATATATTCTATAGTTTTCATGTTTAAACTATTTATAATTAAGTTCTTTGCATACAACATTTTAAAATGCATTGTTTAGAAATTAACTATATTTCTCATAAATAATAATATATTTTCTACACATATTTTGAACAAATGAGTACATCTACTATATCTTATTCATTAACTTTAGCAAAGGGTAGTTAATCTTTGATTATTTAAATCTTTAATTGGAGCGACCAGTAAAAACTAAAAATGCTTATATTTTGTATTATGTTAGATTAGGTTAAAGAATTATTGTTTTAACTTTAGAAATTCATTTATGATTTATACCACTTATTATAAATCACGTAATCTATTATTGCTAAATTAGGGAAATATTTCAAACAGAAATTCATTGTGTAATTGTGTCAAGTGAATGAATTATAGATGGTTTATTATTATTATTATTATTGTTTTGAATTGAATCTGGTTCAATCTATACCACTAATTAAGATACCTATACCAATATGGCTATATGTCTTATAATATAGTCAATAGTCATAATTGTAATTATCTTAAGAAGACACTACGTCACTACCCATGGCCCTTTACACATCTGTTGTATCCGTCTTAATGGTTTTACATAGAACACTTTTGTTCACTAGTTCCAATAGTGTGCAGTGGCAGACTGAACAGTGAACAATGAACTTTATAAACTTTATAAAGTTTTTTATAATTATCATGGTTACGAATTATGAACCGATAACAATAAAAAAATAATATTTTGTCCTGATAATATTTAAAATATTTGGCGGGGTAGCAAAATATATTTTTTTTTTATCACTGTTGATAATTCGTTGATAAATGTAGTGATAAGTTAATTTGTGCACTTGTGAATAGACTTGTTCAGTTGTTCATCTTCATTGTCCATAGACCACAGTTTATAGATCTATACTATTGACTATAGTGTGTTATTTTGGCTTATGGCTAAAATAAATTGTAAAAGCTAGGTAGATAACTGTCAACTGATTTAGTCTCAATGAAAAATCTATTTTGAAAACTATGCCATTACCAAATACTTACGACATTTCGCAAGACACTGTCATCTTCTTTTAATTTCCACCATTGAGTTAAAATCTCTAGAAATGTTTCATAAATTTCAATCCAGTTCATTTTTGTTGTTCAGAACGAATTATAAAATGTTAAAATGTAATGCTTCGTCGTTAGATGGTAAAATGATGAACAAAGTTATGGGCCTTAGTCGGAAAACCAAGTAAGTAGGATATACGCTATCTAAATAATATCTTGAAAAAAGTATACATCATAAATTTAATAACTGGTATTTATATTACTAATCAGAAAGGTTTGGTACAAACCAAATGTTGGGGCAAATCCTTCATTTGAAGAGCTAATGAAACAAACAACAAAAAACAATGCTGGACGTCAGACTAGTAAGCGTTTGGCCGTTCTAAATAAGTTATTAATGAAAAATATAACTGATTTAATGGCAACCGGTGAAAACTCTGATAAACTCATTGGATATAGTCTAGAAATTTCAAAGGTACAAAATCGTTATTTATTTTATTAATTTTTGGCATAGAAGGTAATTTATTTAAAATGCTATATTGCTATACCTACTCATATCTCTGTTAATTTTTGTGATTTTTAAAAAGATTTTATTTTATTCAATGTTAGATTTCTATAAAAACAAATCTAATTTATTATTATATTTTATTATACTGATTTTTTCAAACGTCATACCTCGTTTTTAATTTAATATTCGGAAACAAAATATTAGTCTGACAATATGAATTTATTTATGTATAAAATGTTGAATATTGTTCCAATACCAATAAGCAATATAAAAAAAATAAAACCTAATAAATAAATAAATTTGCTTGTAACAATTTACTTATATAAGTACTAAGTGGCGTGCTCAGCTTTTTCCTATAGGGGGGGGGGGGGGGGTGAACAGATACAAACACTACATTTTTTTTTTGAGTAAACCGAAATTATCAAAGAACTATAAATTACGCATAAAAAAAAGTTCATGGGGGGATATGACACCCTCATCCCCCGTGAGCACGCTCCTGTAAGGACTTAAGTCTACATTGTTTATTTATGTATAAATATTTTTTTTAAAGGTTAGGGTAGCGTGTTAAGTGCTTCAGCCTAAAATGTCTTATGTGTTTACTGCAGGTTTGTATTGCAGGGGATTACAGATCTGTTAATGTATATTGGATGGCTGGGAAATCTGAAGACGATTCCTTATTAGATGAATTATTGCAGTCGATAAGCGGTCCATTGAGGCATGAATTATCCATATTAAGAATCATGGGCGAAATTCCAAAAATACAGTTTATTAAAGGTAAATGATACAACTGACGTTAGTACTAGTGTAGTATGGTACCTTAATAACTTATAAGCTACACGGTGGACCAATAATTGAAATTATTCTTAATATTAACTATTTATTCTGCTATTTAAGATAAGACTTATGCAAACATAGCAGCAGTTGATCGGTTATTAAGTAAAGCAGACTTTGGTGAAGATTTTGTACCTACTTGCAATGTTTTATTAAACCGTCACCCTACAATTTATACCAATATTGATCCAGAGATCAAAGTAATTAACTAATAAATATCCCTACTTATAATTACCAATAGTATTATAAATAATTTATGTATAATAAACTTTTAATGAATTTTAGGAAAAAATTAAAGAATTAGAGGACAAAGAAAATCTAAAAGATGAAAGTAATGATGAGGTAAAAATTCCTGAAATGAAGATGGATGTAATGGGTCTTGATCATAGTGCAATAATGGCTAGAGTAAGATATTTATTTTAACTTATTATGTAGGTTGATTAGAAAAATAATAGTATGGCTAAGTCATAGAGTATACTCTATGGGCTAAGTGGAATAAAGTGTTTATGTCTTTAAGCCCTGTTACTGGTTCAAACTCAGTACCAGACACTTTGTTGTACAAAACGCAATGAGAAACCCCACTGCACATAATCTTATATAATAAAACAACACTGCAAAATTAAATTTTTTAGACCAATAGCTATACAACTAATATAAAGCTAATAACTATTGTAAAATGAAACAAATTATTGAAAAAAAGCTGATTAGAATTAAATATTTAAAAAAAATTATTATATTATTTTCCTTTTAGTTGAACACGGCCATCTTAAAGTCAAAAGCTGCTCATCGTCAACCATCTGCTGTACATAATGTTATGAATAATACTATAACAGAAAATACTGAAGAAACTCAGTATTTGTCATTCACTGATTTTGTAAAAAAAAGAAAAATTCAAGAAGCCAAATCTTTAGGTAGAAGGAGGAGTAGGTCGATTGAGAAAGAAATGTATGATAAAGATGTATCATCGCATTATGAAGAAGAAGAAGATGATGAAATTGATGAATATCCATTTAAAATTTAAACCAATATACCAATATTGATTTAGTATTTCTTGTATTTGGTCAATGTATTAATGCCATTTTTATTTAGTTTCCTATAAAAAATGTTATTGATACTTTAATACTTAAGAAATTGTTAAAGTAACAAAAAATAGTATCATGTTTGAAGATAAAATTTAAAGGTTTTACTTGAAATAGATTACTGACGACAACTTTATCTGTGCGTGGCCACTGGCCAGTGTCATGTATTACTTATCTTTATTCACAAAAATGAAATAAATTTTTGAAAACTAGTAATATTTTGACCCATTAGTTTCCAGAATGTAGTGTGGATTTAAAAGATGGGACTGATGATTCACAAATCACCAAAACAGCGGGTCCTGTTGTGCCTTTCCTGTCATAGGTGGGTGTGCAGGTGTCGCTAACTGTGCATTGGCAGTTGACAAAAGAACATGGGTCACGGCCTATGGTGTGCTAATTAAATTTGTGTTCAAACGGAGTTTGCCTGGGTCAAGTTGGGAAAAATAGGTTTTATCGTATATAACAATAATAATATATCATCCACATAGCCGTGAGCAGGAATTGTTCACAGGGTGTGCAGAATTATTTTAGTAGGGGTTACTTGACCTACTACAAATCAGTAAGATAAATATTGTCTCTATATTATAATTAATTTTAATTTTAAAATAAAACAATTATTCATTTACGTATTACATTTAAAATTAAATTTACTTAATATACAATAGTCAATAGCATTTACATTTATAATGGTCATCTTCTTTGGATTCGTGTCAGTGTTTTAAACTCATCAATAATTTCTTCATATACTCTTTTATGAATATAAAATAAAAACAAATACTTAGTTTTAAATTATAATGTAACTAAAACTGTTTTCTTTAATATTTTACTTAAATCATTGACTTCTGGTGATTGATCACACTTCAACAACGAGTCATCCGGGAAGTCTGTATTTGTATCAATAGACATTGGATCATAAAAAACTAATATGCATATAATATATGTGTAAATTAAAATATATATTATAATTTATAAACTAAAATATGTACAGAATATAATCATCTGACTATCAGAGGATTTACCAAATCTCCTCCTCATAATGCAGACGGTTATAGATGTAACGTAAATTATATACATCACCGAAATTATAATTATTTCTCCGTGCGTTTATCGCTTGCGACCGCCTGACGAGTGTACAGTAGGACCTGCACACCAAGGTCACAGATAATTGAAGATTTCCCTAATGTATTTTACACAGACAGACGGTGTTCAGACTGAGCTTCACACCAGTTGATGAGTATTTGTTACATAACTCGATTACATTTTAGGAGTATAATAATAATTGTCGTTTGTTTGTTTTTAAAATATAATTTTTAATATAATAAATACAGTTCAACAGATATTGTATTAAATGTTGTATTACACCTAGGCGCGAGTCCCCAATGTTTATCGTTTAGGCATGGGATTTGCTTTTGTTTCGTCAACATTATTAAAATTGTTATTTATGAACCTAAATAATTAGTTTATTCATCAACTCTGACATTAAACTCAAACAGTCTTATAGTTATGCATGGCACAATAGGGGGGGGGGCTTTAGGGGCTAAGCCCCCCAAACATCTCTTGTATTTTGTTTTAAAATTATTGATATTTTAAAAATAAAGCTTTAGCCCCCCCCCCCCCCCAAATCTCAAAAGCTATTTGAGCCCATGTAGTTATGTCTTGTGCCTATATTAAAAAGTTGTTGCTTTTGCACAAATTTATTTTATTCAAATGCACAAACCTTTGTATTTCAAGACTAATGCACAAAACAATTTAAATATATAACACGACATATGGATATTTGAACACATATATTTGTTGTATTTATATTTTATGACAAACATCAGCATTGCACAGAGTACAATGAAAAGTAAAAAATGTATAATATGATACAATTTACAACTTACAAAATATAACTAACTTTAAAAAAATATATATTATATGTAATGTATTATGTAATACATTTTTATTTTAGTCAAAGGTGTGTATAAAATGTTTGTACACTACTAGAGTAATAATTTTGTAAGTTAAGCTATAAATCACTATTCATGAGAACTTGATAATTATGACGTTGATGAACATTAGGAACAATATCAATCAACCACTCTTTGTCAATTACAGTTATATATTTCATATATGGTTGACTAGTCTCTATGATTTCCGTGTATAGGACACAATGAGGATATGAATGAAACAGTGTTGAAGTTGGATGGATTTTGCATTCTTTTTTAGCATTAACTGTTACATACTTTTTTTCCTGATTGACATATGCCAGATTTTCAAAAAATCCTGTCAACAGACATTTTCTGATAGGGTCGAAATCATCTCCACAAGATTGGCCAATTGGTAAATGTAAATACCTACAGATATCGAGCAACTGTTCTCGAGCGCGATCTGCGTATTCTAAATTACGGACGTTGAGAAAATTATCGTCACACCAACTGGACTTAGAATCTTTTCTTACTTTCCTATACGAACGGAATGTTTTTAGCAACATAATATGGTCACTGACAGATGACTTGAATTTTGTATGAGCATCCTCGGCTTGTTTCTTTTTTTTCTCTGAAAGACTAGACACAAAAATTGAATCAGTAGACAATATAGATACAATATTTACAATGTCTTCCATACAACCATAGTTGACTGATGACAATATTATTTTTGAGTACCTTGGGTCAAGAGGAAATTTAGTCATTTTATGACCCAATTCAGTTAAAATACTATTTTTTGTAGCACCTAAATTTCCTAACATGTTGTAAGCTTGATTAATTGCATCTGTCGATGGCTTATTAATGAAATCAAATTTGTAAGGATCCATATTCATGGCCAATATTTGTAATACTACATTACCCAAATTACACCTCAAGATTTCTGGTACTGGGTCTTTGGTCATTTCATCATATTGCGTTTTTGAATATATCCTGTAACAATATCCATCAGATTCACGACCCGCACGACCTGCTCTTTGTTCAGCTTGGGCTTGAGAGATATTTTCAACTTTTAGAGCATCCATTGAAGTTTCTGGATGAAAACATCGAACTTTAACTTTGCCACAATCAATTACATATTTAATACCAGTCAAAGTAACTGATGTTTCTGCAATGTTTGTACTCAATATGATTTTTCTGGCAAACTCGTTAGGTTCCAATGACATAAATACTTTGAGTTGCTCATTGGTAGGCAATGAAGCATATAATGTTCGTACTTTTATAACAGGATAATTTCTTAGAGAAGGATCTTGGTTGATGTGCTCTATAGCAAGAGCCATATTTTCTATTTCTTCTTGTCCAGTTAGAAAAACTAAAAAGTCATGACGTTCAGGTGCCTCTTTATGTAATTGAAATATCGTAACAAAAGTATCATGGAAGTAATCTTCTACAGTTTTCTTAGCATGGAATATTTTGATGTCATGAAGCCTACCTTGTAAGTAGACAATCTGAGCATTGCCAAAATAGTCGGCAAACAAATCAGCATTCATTGTTGCTGACATGACAATTACTTTAAGAGGGTTAGAACTGTGCTTACGACTGCGTTGGACTTTTTTTACAATTCCAAAAAGTAAATCCGTATTGACTGTACGTTCATGAGCTTCATCTAAAATTACACATCCGTATGCCGATAAGCTCTTTTCTAATATAGCAGTCCGTAATAGCATACCATCAGTCATAAACTTTATTTTAGTGAAATGAGTAGTTTTGTCAATAAACCTGACTCTGTAGCCAACCAAGTCCCCGATTTCAGTGTTTACTTCATATGATACACGTTCAGCTAACGATATCGCTGCTACACGTCTTGGTTGTGTAACAACTACATCTTCGTCCGGGCGTAATATTTTTTCATAAACAATTTGTGGAATTTGTGTTGTCTTGCCACTTCCTGTTTCTCCAATTATGATTAAAGTTTCATTTTTTTGAATTAAACTACAAAGCTTATCTTTTTGAAGAGTAACAGGCAGAGACTTTCGTTCATCGTCAAAATACTTGACTAAATCCATTTTACTTAAGTCATTCATTGTTAATGTTCTGTTGCCTACAATTTAAATATTTTACATCATTAGTAGAGAATTCTAAAGTATTAATATTTAATACCTATATTACATTATAGTCTGCGCAACAAAAACTGGCAGGTGACCGGCACGATTCTAGTGGGCCTTTCCGGGCGTGTTAGGTGGGCGGGGGAGTCACCGGCCAGTTTTCGTTGCGCGGACTACAGTAGCAGTGTTTGGAAAGAACCCGTTCGTTATGAGGAAGTGAATTTAATTTAAGAATGCAGTACAATACTTATATTTTATGAGAAATTTTGATGAAGTCGATCAAATGAATTACATTTTTAGTATGTTTATGTAATGAATTGTATACAGAAATGAAAAATAGATACTTAAAATCATGATAAAGATATTATTTTCTATATGATATATAAAATATTATCTTTGAACTAAAAAGGGACAAGATTCATTTTTATGCTCCACTTTTGTTTTAATTAATTAAGAATTTTTTAACAATGAAGTGATTTAATGTATCTGATGTATATTCATAAAGATTGCATAAAAAACTATATTTTGACTCATGTCAACAAATTGTGATTCATTTTGGAATAAATAAGTAAAACTAATGGTCTAATAAATGGATTTATTCTTTTAATGAACGTTGAAGCATTCCTTTGGATAAATTATGAACTTGAAAGGTGAACGAGTTCAGATTTTAAGCAAACTTTCTTCACACTAGTTAGTAATACTATTGATTTTAAAATATACTATAATATATATTGTATACTGTATACTGTATATTTTAAAATCAAAGCTAATACCCAAGAATCTGAATCAAAACAGTTTATTTTTAATGCATATTTGGTAAGTTTAATTAAAAACAAAACATACATACCACTTTACAATACAGTATGAATTCTGAACTGAGTAAGTCAAAACCTCAAATAAATGTGATTACAGTATGCACACCATTGCATTTGACGACTAGATTCAAGTATACATTAAACACTAACCACTTTAAAGTTGAAAATTTTAATTTTAAATCAGAATATTTCATTCAGAATAAAAAAAATATAGTATAGATATAAAGTAGCTACTAGCATAGAACAATAATAAAAAATGCTACTAGCCACATTCGAATAAAAATTTAAAATATAAAATTCACGTGCTCAAATAAATTATCAAAACTGATATGACAATTGATAACAGGTTGTCATCATACCACGGAATATATTCACATATATTTTGTGGTATAAGGTATAATCACGATTAAAGATATACAGGTTGCACATCGCCCTATAGCAGGGTATAGACACTCTGTGTATTGGCAAAATCGGGTGACTGTGGCCTTGAGCACAGTCTCTAAGGGGGCGTGGCATATGTTATCATTTAAATAAATCATATCAATATTATCAGTCCACAGAATAATAATACAATATATTATTTCATTAACAATAAACCAATGTAAAATTACATTATAGCTTTTAATTTATATTAAAACAAAATCCTTATTCATTTTACCAAAATTTAATATTGATATACTTAAAATATGAAAATTCGTATAAAATCGTTTATAAAAATTCCGTAACAAAGAGGGATACACGTTGCTAACGTTCTATCAGATTACGGATACGGTACAACTTTTATAGTCCAATACATCATACCGTAGGGATACCGGGATACGTAAACCCTCACAGCTGATCGAGTGTCTATTCTATATTGTTCTGTGCCTATAGTAAACCGCTTCCAGACTGATTTACAAAGTGACTATAAAAATCAGCTGTTAATAATTAACTAGTTTCGCTTAATGTCAACACTCAACCATATGTGTCGACTTTTAGAACTAATTTTACACCTATATATCTATAATTGGTTAATTGTAATACTGCCGCTTGGAGCGCCACTGGTTAATTATTGGCTTAGATCATATACTAGTATATGATCTAAGATTATTGGTAGTCATTTCGTATTTCACCTTATCAGTAGTCGATGTGCAACCTGTATATCTTTAATCGTGGGCATGAACATCCTCTAATGTTCATGATCGTGGGTATAATCAGGGTATAGACACTCTGTGTATTGGCAAAATCGGGTGACTGTGGCCTTGAGCACGGTCTCTAAGGGGGCGTGGCATATGTTATCATTTAAATAAATCATATCAATATTATCAGTCTACAGAATAATAATACAATATATTATTATTATTAATTATTATTTCATTAACAATAAACCAATGTAAAATTACATTATAGTTTTTAATTTATATTAAAACAAAATACTTATTCATTTTACCAAAATTTAATATTGATATACTTAAAATATGAAAAATAAATTATTTATCCTTATTAATCGTTTATAAAAATTCCGTAACAAAGAGGGATACACGTTGCTAACGTTCTATCAGATTACGGATACGGTACAACTTTTATAGTCCAATACATCATACCGTAGGGATACGTAAACCCTCACGATATATTCTATTTGTGGTATAGGTATATTAAGGTCACGGACTAGATGATAATATGAATTATTTATCATCCAGAATCACAGATTTATATTATAAACAAATAAATATATCTGATTAGTGATTACAGTATTTCGTTTTATATTCGTAAGACGTGTCGGGTGTCCCAAAAATTAAATAAATTATATTATAATTATTGTACACGGTTAATAAATATTCAAATTAAAAATATTTCAACATTAAATTCATAGGTTAACCTTAGATAAAGCAACTTCCTAGTAAACTCTTTCTTGTTTAGTATAAATGATTTTTATGTACCTATTGACTAATACACGGTTTTGCTGTTGAATATTAACTATCAGTATTAAGAACTATTAGCAATTTAAATAAATGTACGTTGTATTTTAATTTATAATTATTTATTTTTGACAATTTTTTCTATAACTTTATAATGAAATAAATATATAGGAAAATGAGTGCAACCAGATTAGAAATAGATGTAAAACGACTCTTGTCAGTTTGTGAAGAAATGGCTCAAAATAATTCATCTGATGATTGGCGGTTAAGCAAAGTATATATATTTATTTAGATACCTACATCATTAGGTTTTAAATTTGGTAGTATCTAACTAATGTTTAATGGTTAACAATTACCATTTTAATAAATTTAACAAGATCCGTAGTTACCGCTCATCGGTCTAAAAATTATTTGTATACTATATTTTAATTATTGTTAGTAAATTTGTGTTCTAGTTTATAGAAGCTGTCAGTGAAATGATTGCAGAATTAATTAAAAAGAGGTAAAATAATAATATAATAATATATGTTTAAAATGTAATATTTATTTAATTTATTTTTGTTATATATAGTGATCCAGACAAAGATACAATTAACCAGTACACAAAACGAATGGAATTCCTTAAAGGATTTTTGAATACCAAAGAAATCGTAATATATCATTCTACATTTAAGAATATATTAAAATATAAATTTTATGCTTCTACATAATTATGTTAGGAAAATCCAGAAAAGAAATTAGTTGCCTTGGAAATGTTAGAACCTGTACAGGTGTCTGATAGCCGTTCAAAAGATATTAAGCAAAAGTATAAAGTTACATATATAAAGCAATTGAGAGATGAACTACTTGGAAGTAAATATATTTATTTTTTATGTAAACCATAAGGTATGTATGAAATTTGATTCTGTTTAGATGATACAAATGAACTTAGATCATCTAGGCAACCAGATGTAGATAGTAGTGATAATTTGGATGAATTATTGAGACATCATCAAAATAAACAGGAATCCATCGCTGAAGAACTGATGGCAATCACTCGGGGTTTACGAGAACATTCCGAACTAGCTGGAAAAATAATTAAAAAAGACATAGAAGTATATAATATATGACAAAATGTTTTGATTTTGTTTAACTTCTTAAATTATTTTATATTAGATTTTAGAAAAATCATCAAAAGGTATGGATACTAATTTTGAAAATTTAAAAAGAGAAGAACTGAGATTAACGGAGTTTGTAAGAAAAAGCACTTGGAGGTGTTGGATATGGGTTTTAGCTGTTGCTATGGTTGCAATTTTTATAAGTATGTACTTTATTATTATACAATTTAAAACAATAAATAAATTAAAATCAAATTAAATGTCATTAAAATTTTGTTTTCAGAAATGATTTTATTCATCAAAGTGACGAAAAAAAGTTAATGAAGTTGAATTACCTTTGCATCTTTATATTATGTAACTTACATAGATTTTTTATTGGGTATATTTCCTCATTATTTATTGTTAAAAAGAAAAATACTTATTGATAAAATATTTTGATATCACTGTTAATAAATATACTGTTTCTACTTAATGATTTTTAATTATAGCTACTAGGTTTTAGTAAAATGGATGGTAATTTATATTGGACATGAGTACATGACTCTTAATCACAAACAATCTGCCCAATCTACTACAACCCGCTCAATAAATTGACTTTGTTCAAATTAAACAGGGTAGTAAAATATTACCCACTACCGTGTATTTAGAAATTTAGCGTTTGGTGTATACAAATTACAAATTACAAACATACATTTCTGTATCAGGTATCAATAGTATGTAAAAATTCTATGAAAATTAATTTTTGTATTTCCAATAATATGGTGTATTGAACGGTTTGAGAGTAATAACATTCATCTTAATATATATAAATCTCGTGTCACAATGTTTGTCCTCAATGGACTCCTAACCACTTAACCGATTTTGATGAAATTTTTTACACCGCGTGTAATTTGGTCAAACTTAAAAGATAGGCTAATTTAAAAAGGGAGAGGACCAACCCCGGGAGGTGCTCAAACGGGAATTTTGAGATTTCCGATGGACATTTTTGTTTATAAATGGTTGCCATGGGTTTTTAAGCTATTACAATAATAAAAAAAAAAAAAAAAACTATTTGCTTTACTTTTTAAATATAAATTGTAATCTAATATCTAACTATAAAAATGTGAAATGAAAATCTCTGTACTACTTATCTCTGGAGCTCCTTTTAGATCTTCTTGATTTTTTTTTAA